TGATTTACTGCCTGATCAGATAATAGGGCAAGGCAAGTAACTGGCAGTAAAGCACTGAATGTGAGTAATGAGGACTATAAACTAGAAAATAATTTATCAATCGGGCTATCTCCTGTCTTTGAGTTAGCATTTCCCGGAAGTGCGGAATTGCGAGGACTCAAAGAAAGGATAAACGGCTTGAGTCGTACGAATTTAATCTCCAAACACAGTATTCTCTTTTATCACCAGTTCTGATGATTGGTTGATTCTAATCAAACTTTCATAAAAGTATATAAAGCCTAAAAGGAAGTCCTCTAATCCTAAATCTCCCAGATCTCCCGAAAAAAAAAACTAAACGGAAAAATCATACTGGTGGCAGTTATGCATAATAAAGATTCGATAACAGATTGATCTCTTAGATCCAAAATAAGCTTAATCGAAAACTAAGAACATATCAGGGGATTTCATTATAGCAGTGAAATCAAAGATAAATAATGTAACATTGGCTTTCGAATTCAGAAGAAATTAGCCCAGAACCCTTTATACGCTTCAGACTAACCTAAGCAATAATTTACTTTACCTTAAATAAGGTTGGTACATTACTTTCATTGGCCTGACTGACTAATCTCGCAGAATATGGTAAGAAATCTTCAATAAATGGTTATTCTTTGAAAATTTCAAAAAAATTTAATGATTCTGGTTCTTTTTAAGGATTTCGACATGTGCCTTTGTTGAACAGTGAGGGTGAAGTGCTACCCAATGCTACGCTTTTCGTCCATGTGGCTATCACCAATAAGCGTGGTGGAGGGGTAGGTTTTTCCAGTCACATAACTATCCGAACATCGGAGTATTCGAACTATACAAATTCAACTCGCTTCAAATAGCTGTTCAAAGAACACCAGCAATCCGTTTCTTATTGTTCGCCGAGTTCTGACAAACGACCATCGAAGTAAACAAAGCTCTAAATCCATTCTTTACTGCATTTTGTCCAAGTCAGCAGCGCTATAATAGCGTTGGGCCAGCAGTCTTTGCAAGGCATGGAGGCGTGGTCATCCTCTGGCAGAAGCGCTAGGGGCGGAGCTAATTGGATTAAATCTGTTTTTTCCTTTAGAAAGCCAAGAAAAGGGGCATGTCAGTGAAACGGAAATCCAGTCGAGTCAACACTGGCATGAAGCTCGTTGGTATTAAGGTGAGTTTTTCCATAGAACTCTAGATTTGGTAACTCAAGGCTAATTACGGCTGTTTACCCAACAGAACTCATATAAGTCAGAATACTTATAAACAAACTTTTGCCTACAATCTTTGTTAAAATCTCTCCTTTTTCAAGACTGTTGATGACCAGTTCAAAACGGCTGTGGCTCCACTTTGCGAGTCCATAGCAATGCGGAACAAACTCGAAGCTGCTTTGGTAAGTAAATTGCTGATTAGTGAACAAAAATATTACTCTACGAAAAAAAAAGAACTAAAGGTGGAATGGCAAGAAGAATGTGGTCTCGGACCTGCGGGTACCATCCGACAAGGAATTCGTCTGATTCATTCCAGAATGATGACTCTGGCAGTTAAC